CCTTAGCTCAAGGTCTGGATCCGCCAATGGTAACAGAATGAGGCAACCAGCGACCGCCATCAATAGCCATCAATTTGTCTACGACTGTGACTCCATCGACTTCATTACTAGATCCTCCATTTTTGTTCTACCGCAAACTCAAAAGATTGCGGGCGGAAAAATATCCGGATTCGAAAGGAAATCGTTTACACGACAAAATTCTCCGGATTCAAAGTTCCCACTTTAAATTCCGTGCTCAAAATCTCGGGACACATGACCAAACCAGGGAGTTTTTATTTCGGATTTGTCCACTTGTGTGTAAATGGCAAAATCAATACGGTACTAAAACGTTCAGGAGCCGGAACAATTTCCTCTGGTGTAAACCTCCTTACATACGGCGGCTACGCCCGCAATACGAGCGGCAGTCAAAACTGAGCTGTCCCACCGAAACGACGCGATAATAGCCCTTTTCTTCGCAGCATCTAACAAGAATAAAGATAATGCTAAAGTTGCTTTGGCCTCTTTTAATAGTGAACTGGAGAATTCCAGGTTTAATTTGACGAGGAAGGGCATATTTTGTGCAAAATAACACAGCTATTACCCGACCTGCTGCCGGACGCCGGCGACCCATTTTTGGCGCTAAATTAGAAGCTCGGAGACACAAAATATTTCATAGTTTTCCCTTTTTACGATCTGATATGGATTTTGAAATTGTAAATCCCTTTTCGTGAATATTCAATGCCATCTTCAGTGAGAATAGTAAAGTAATATAATCCATTTTTGAATACGCGTCGTCATCCTCTTTTTCTGGGATGTCCAACTCGCTGTGATCGCGGCTAAAAGAACTAGCCCTGATTAGAAAATTGCGAATTTACATAATTTCCGATAAAGAGGACAACCTCCTGAGGTATACCCAAACTTTCGAAAACTTTTTCCTAGAAATTTCTGTTCCATTTGATTTGCACCCTGGAATTTCCGGAATTTTCGGTTGAATGGTTCGCGTTTCGGAAATTCAACAATTTCCGGATCGCATTTTCTTGAATCTTTCCGGGGAAATTTCCTTACCATTTGTCCCCTTCTGGAAAATTTCGGAGTTTTTGGTTGAATGGAAAACGTCCATAGCCTTTTGCCGTTTCTGAGACTATGTGTAAAGAAACACGCTTGATTGCGATCGCTCACGGTTCGTGGTCGCTTGCAAGAGGTTCAACTTTAGCGATTTGACAAACAAAATGTCAGCATTTTGGAA